TTGTGCAAATAAATATCACACTTTGGGACCATATTTTTCGAACCTACTCTACCCTCTATACTCTACTCTCTGGTATTTTTTTGGCTGAAAGATGATGAAGCAGGTCCTTCTTCTGTTCTTCTGCTTTGCTTCTGGACTGACCCTTTCAGTCTCTGAGTCCAAATCTGCTTCTTTGCAACCTCATGCTGCAGAATCCTTCACTCTTGGTTATATCCAGGTAAAGTTAACCCTTGTGTTTTTTTTTTTTTCCTTTTAATTTTTTTAAGAAAATATTTTGGAGCTGTTTTTATGCATAACATAAAGTTCGAAACTTTACTCTCTTTTTGTTAAAAAAAAAATTTTTGGAGCTGTTTTTATGCATAATATAAAGTCAAAGACTTTATTTTATTTATTTATTTATGTTGGGTGTCTTTAATAGATGAAGAAAGTAGAGAACTGTTCTTACCTGGTGATGATATCTACAAGTTGTTCGTCTCCCAAGTTTACAACGGATCAGATCAGTCTTGTATTTGGGGATGTTTATGGCAACCAGGTTTTCCTTCTTTGTATTTCTCCGTTTATTTATTTCTTTATTGTGAAATATGTTTGATTGGTTCAAGATCGAATTTTGAACAAATATTCATAAATATAATGTTTATAGAGGAATTATAAACATACCCATAATTGATATTGAACCCGGAATCATGGGTATTCAATATTTTGTTGGAATTCACTATGTTACTTACATCCTCAATTTACCTTATTTGGGGGTAGGAAGCCTGTTAACTAATAGAGCAGTAGAACCTTGCTCACTTATGATAAAAGTGCGTAATTTCCCTTGTTAAAACACTAAATTTTCCAACCCTGCTCAACTGAGCAGCTGAGCTCCCAAGGGATTGCTTGATGCAGGGATCAAATCCTGCCTCAAGCAGTTTTTTGGAAAATCTTTGAGAGCCAGAGGATAAGTCAAAAAATCTTCGGTTGAGGGATTAGTCTCGTCCGAGGGCATGGTGCTCGGAGAAGGTTGAACAAGGATACCTCCCGCCAATGTACCAAAAAAAAAAAAACACTAAATTTTCCTTTTGTTTGTTTGTTATGCTATAGCTTAATCCATGTTTGTAAATTGCATATGTAAACAACACGCTAAAAGTGGAATCTGAATTAAAAGGACCCAATATATATATATCGGTAAAGAATTTCTCGAGTGAGATATGAGAGGTGAGATATGAGATAAGTTATCTGCGATGAAATTAAGGTGTTTTTGTAATTTTAATTTATTGCAAGGTTATATTAGTATGTATTATTATAATTTTTTTATTTTTTAATCTCAAAAGGACGAGTATGTGTGGAAGATTGACTTAGCAAGTTTTACCTTTATAATTAGCTGTTTATTTCACTTGTATATCAAATAGTTTATATGATTAGATTAAAGTCATTTGTAACTGAGTTAATAATTAATAATGAATATTTTAAGTTGATTATTCCTATATAGCTGATTAAGGAAGCTTAATTTTGAACCATTTGAAAGTTTTTATTTTTCGCTTTGCAATATTATTTATCAGGTATATGCACCAAGACTGGATGATCCAATTTCAAGGACATTTGAGCAGTGTTCTTCAGATACATTTCAGATAGATGGTCCATGTGCATCTCCTATATGTTATGCGTACCTATATAGATCTGGTGCATATAATGGTTGGAAGCCTGAAAGCGTTAAAATCTATGGCTATAACTCAGAGCCTGTTACTTTTGATTTCAACACCTCCATCCCCGAGGAGACGTGGTACGGTTATAATTTGTGCGACACTCCTCCATACACTCCTCCATCTTCTTCATACCAACTAGCCACTCAGAAATGGCTTATATGTGTTGTTATAGGTTTGGTTCTTAGTTTTTGGATGTAATTTATGCTCTGGCTGTTAAGTTATGCACTTACATAGACCATGTCTCATTTATTATGTACCCATGAAACTTAATTCGTACTTTATGCTAAAGTAGAGATACGAGACGTGTAATATCGTAGGACAAATTCAGTTAATACGTAATGTTGCTTGCCTCTTAACCGTTGTCTTGTTTATGTTCGAATTTTTTTTTTTAATGTGTTTATGTTCAATTTAGCGTTGGAGCAAGGAAGACTATAAAACAAAGATAGGTTGAGGGAAATCTTCTAGACACGAGATGAATATTTACATTTAATCCGATGCTCTATAAATATCTACCTTTCAATTTAAGAAGGCTTTATAAACACGGGTATGATTCAACAAATAATCAAAAGGTTAATTTCATAAAAATAATTATTTTTTACTAACGGTGATCAAAGATGACAATTTTTAACATGACATGATCATGGCATGAGAATTTTGTGTTCGATTTAATCTATTTTAAAAAAATTGTGATATTTGTGTTGACAAAAATTGATACAAACATAAAATTAATTTGTGTTAATATTCTTATATATTATTTGTGTTAATGTGCACAATAAACGACACATTTCGAGATTAATATGTAATGCTTCATTGTACAATCGGTTCATTAACATTACGTACGATATTAAATGTAGTTACAATCATAAAAGTTCATTTAAAAATTTGGCTAAATTTTGTCTCTTTCAATGTTGCTTATTCCACTTACAATAATCATTGTATTCAAATTAAACCAAAATTGTAACTGTAACCTCATGACATTGCGATATTATAATGTATAGCTTATTCATATCATACTAGTCCTATTAGACACAACTTGGGGTTCATATAAGTCCTTTAACATAATTCTCATTTTAGCAAATTGGGTTGCTCGCTTGAGCGAGCTCCCCAGCGAGCATTCGCAATTGCTCGTGTCCTGCTCGCTCAAACGAGCAAGACAGCGAGCCAATTAAATCCCTAGACAGTAGCTACTGCCCAGGTGCTCTGTTTCCTCGCAACCTCTCTTGCTGGAGCGAGGCCAACAACTAGCTCGTTTAAGCGAGCACATGAGCAAGAACTCCCCTGCTTTGAGTTCACTTCTGTCTCAATTTCAATCAGCTTGCTAGACTCCTCGCTAGAGCAAGCTCGCCAGCGAGCAGAGCCAGAATTTTGACATATGCTCTTTGTTTCATGGTTCATTCTTTACACCTCTTGGGTACCTAATAGACATGAAAAGGTAACCACTAGCCCAACAAACTAGGATGCACTTACATCCTATCAATTTACATCAATTCAAGATATTTCCTTATCCTTACTTGATTTACAAATTATGTATCTTTAGCTTAGCATTATTGACTCTATGACATCCATGCATAATCAATATACATTGTCAACCAAACTCGCTGTTAGTGGCAGCGAGTTTCATGGTCAAATAAGTCAGAACACTCAGCTTCTCCAAAACACATGGCCGCCAGTCTGAAACTTGCTGTTAGTGGCAACGACTTCCTAGACTCACACGGTGATGACACGTGGTATAAAATTGTAGTAGTTTTATCGTAAAACTTTAGTAGGCTATAACTTTTGACTTAAGTGTTCGAATTACGTGATTTTTTTAATTCCTCATAACTTTTCGATATCTTTGCGCTAACAAATTCCCAAAGGATTATTTGTTAGTGTTGGAAAGTGAAAACAAGAATACGAAATAAGTAGTATCATTCACAAAGATAAAATGTGCCAAACGGGGAACAAGCAAGCATATTTTTTAAAGAAAGTTGACCTTTGTGGATTGTTGGCGCATAGATCTTGAAAAGTTATGTGGAATAAACAAATTTACCTAATTAAGACATCCAAGCCAAAAATTATTGTCTTCTGAAGTTTTATGGTAAAATTTTCAAAATTTTGTGTTACGTGTCAACTCCGTGTAGTCTAGACCCTTAAAATCATAGCCACATCCAACGCGTTTCAGATTGCCTGACAACAGTCAGATTCGTTTGAATATTAAACTCGCTGTGAAGCAACAAGTTTGGTGACTTCAAAAAGTGTCCCATTTGGCAAATCAATCTCGGTGTCAGTGACAACGGACTTGAAGCCGTGACATTTTGACAAATTTTTTTGTTGATGTGACATTCTGATATTTTTATTTTTTTTTAAAAAAAGTGATAAAAAGTTTCGTCTTGTTTATGCTCAACTTATTGTGTTTCTGAAGAAACACTATTAGGGTGTGTTTGGTTGGAGGTTTTTTAGGAGATTGATAGACAAATGTGAAGTGGGGAAATTGGATGTCCATGTTTGGTTGAGAGAGGTTCCTAATTTAGGTACCTAAATTCCTTTGCTAGCAAACTACCTTATCTAGCATTTTGAAGCAAGAAAGCAGGCCAAAGAAACCCTTTTCTGATGTGGTTTTCTCAGTTAGCTATGCATTTGGGTATACTGTGTAATAAGGTAAAGACTTTTTTTTATGGGTAAAGGGCAGCAAGGCTTATCAACATTTTTTAAAAACAAGGATATTTTTGTAATATCACATTTTTTTCCCATCTATATTTTACCAAAAGCCAAACATAGATTTTACAAAAGTTACCTAATTTCTCCGATAAAATTTTTCCCTACCAAACAATTTTTTTTACATTTTCCTACCAAACTCATTTCCCAACCATTTCCCTACTAATCACATTTCCCTATGATTCATAAAAATTTCTCCTCAACCAAACGCCCTCTTAGGAATAAGAATACACTTAGCCATTTTTCTTTCGATTTACCATTGTTTATATAAGGTTTGCTTGAGTATCTTTCCTCTTTTTTATTTTCGTAAAATGAGAGGATCTTAATTATTGGAGAAAAATAATAGGAAAGCTTTAACATTAAATGTAATGAACCAAAACCGTGCTTGGATTGATTAGGGTGTGCATGACAATCATTCTATTCCCTAGCACTGTTTCTGAAAAGAAACAATTCTTTTCTATTTCTGTTTCTTGGAACAGTTTCTGAGAAAAAAATGTGTTTGATAACATGTTCTATTTTTATTCCGAGAATGAGAATTGCGTTTGATAACATAACAAATAATATAATAAAAAATAATTCTTATTAAATAAAAAAAAATTGGATCATCATTTTCCTCTCCATATGGTGTGTTTGTGGTGGTGGTGGTGGTGGCGGGTGGGGAGGGGGTGGCATGGTGGTGGTGGCGGCAGCGGCGGTACGGCGGTGGGAGGCAGTGATGTGGTGGTGGTTGTGACGCCAGTGGCTGCGATAGTGGTAGTGGTGGGGATGGTGGTGGTGGAGGTGACGGCAGTACTTCCTGGACATTTGGTGACGGAGGGAAGGTGGAGTACTTTCTGGACATCAACGGGGGAAAATGATACTTGTTTTCCCCTTACTGTGACCACATCTGGTGCCTCCTCTTCAGGCAGCCTCCTCGTCTGGTATAGGAATTCCCCCACCCAGTTCAAGTTTAACTCACGGTCATCAGTGGCGAAAAGCGACCACCGAAGTTTGTCCAGTGATTCCTTCACAAATGAAGGCAGAACCACTTTGTCCTGCTGCAGAGAAATGTTCCTTTCTGGGTACAGAGTGATGGTGGGTTCAGTGAGCTCTGGTTCTTCGTCGCATGGTGATGGAGATGGTGGTTGGTGGCATATGTGGTTGGTGGCGGAAATAATGGTAGTGATGACATAGTGGTGGTGGTTGTGGTGGCAGTGGCTACGGCGGTGGCGGTAGGTGACAGTGGTGGTGGTGGTGATGGCTGCGACGGTGGCAGCAGTGGTGGTGTAATGGCGGTGACGGTGGTGGTGTAATGGTGACGATGGTGGTGGAGGTGATAGTAGTGGCTGTGACGATGGTGGTGGTGGTTGATGGCGGCGGCGGCTGCAGCAATGATAGTGGTGGTGGCGGAAATGATATGGTGATGATAGTGGTGGCGGTTGTGACGGCAGTGGCTGCAGCGGTAGTAGTGGTGGGGATGGTGGTGGAGGAGGTGACGGCAGTGGCTGCGACAATGGTGGTGAGGATGGTGGTTGGTGGCGGCAACAATGGTAGCGGTAGCATGGTGGTGGTGGTTATGGTGGCAGTGGCTGCGACGGTGGTGGTAGGTGACAGTGGTGGTGGCGATGGTGGTGGTGGTGGCGGTGGCAGTAGTGGCTGTGACGATGGCGGTGGTGGTTGGTGACAGTGGTGGTGGTGGAAGTGGTGGCGATGGTGGTGGAGGCAATGGCGTGATGATGACGATGGTAGCAGTGGTTGCGATGATGGTGGTGGTGGTTGGTGGCGGTAATGGTGATTGTGGTGGTGACGGTGATAATGGTAACGATTGTTGCAGCGGTGGTAGTTGTGGTGGTGGTGATGGTGGCATGGTAGTAGTGATGGGTAGAGGTGGTGGTGATGGTAGCAGTGGCATCGTGGTGGTGGGGGTGGTCACGACAACACTAGTGGTACGACGGCAGCGACGACGATCGTGGCGGTGGTAGTGTTGGGATGATAGTGGTGGTGGTTATGATGGTAGAGATGGAGAGTGATTAAGAGAGATAAGTGTTTCTCATTTTGTGCTCGGGAACAAAAAAACAGAAATTTTTTGATTCTTTTTTCTGTTCCCCAGCACAAAAATTATATCGGTTCATCCCGGGAACAAAAAAATAAACCGATTTTACCAAACGAGTTTCCTATCCATTTCTGTTCCCGGAAACATAAATTATAAAAGAATTGATTCCGAGAAAGTTGTCATGCGCACCCTTAATCATTTTGAAAATAACTTTTTTTTTTGTGTTTTTTTTTTTTGCAAATTAAGTTGTACCTCTCCAAAATCAAACATGTTTGGGTTGTAGTATAAAACTTTATTGATTATTTTTTCACACTAAAAGTAGTTTATTTTCTTAGTTTTAGTATTTTGATTATTGTTTTCAGATTATTATAAAAGATTTAAGAAATAAATATCTCTTTGTCTTCAACGAAATAAAGTTTGCAATTATTTTAAGGAGAAAAATATGTTTATAGTTATAGGAAATAAAATTATGACGTTTCCAGGATTGAATAAATTACGGCAAGTAAAAAATTAACACGTGACTGGGAAATACGCCTATTGTCCGGTGTTGGCGTGGTGCAAATAAATATTAACACTTTGGGAACTATGCTTGTTCCACGACGCACCAAATAAACATTGAACTTTGACCATATTTTTCGAACCTACTCTACCCTCTATACTCTACTCTCTGGTATTTTTTTGGCTGAAAGATGATGAAGCAGGTTCTTCTTCTGTTCTTCTGCTTTGCTTCTGGACTGACCCTTTCAGTCTCTGAGTCCAAATCTGCTTCTTTGCAACCTCATGCTGCAGAATCCTTCACTCTTGGTTATATCCAGGTAAAGTTAACCCTTGTATTTTTTTTTTCCTTTACTTTTTTTAAGAAAAATATTTTGGAGCTGTTTTTATGCATAACATAAAGTCCGAAACTTTACTCTCTCTCTTTTTTTAAAAAATAAAATATTTTGGAGCTGTTTTTATGCATAATATAAAGTCAAAAGCTTTATTTTATTTATTTATTTATTTGTGTTGTGTGTCTTTAATAGATGAAGAAAGTAGAGAACTGTTCTTACCTGGTGATGATATCTACAAGTTGTTCGTCTCCCAAGTTTACAACGGATGAGATCAGTCTTATATTTGGAGATACTTATGGCAATCAGGTTTTCCCTTTTCCTTCTTTGTATTTCTCCGTTTATTTTATTTTATTTTGAAAATATGTTTGATTGGTTCTAGATTGAATTTTGAACGAAATATTCATAAATATATTGTTTATAGTCGAATTATAAACATACCCATAATTGAAATTGAACCCAGAATCATGGGTATTTAATATTTTGTTGGAGTTCATTATGTTACTTACATCCTCAATTATCTTTATTTTATTTTTGTTGGCGGGGATAGGAAGCCTTTTTTTTTTTGGTAATCGGAAGCCTATTAACTTATAGAGTAGTAGAACCTTGCTCACTTATGATAAAAGTACTTAATTTCCCTTGATAAAAACCTAAATTTTCCTTGTATGATTTTTTTTTAATGCTATAGCTTAATCGATGTTTGTAAATTGCATATGTAGAGAACACGCTCGGAGTGGAATCTGAATTAAAAAGACCCCGTATATATATATATTATTTTACATTATATTCTTAATTTTGATCCTTTGGTTATTGATCTCATTTTTATCTAAGAGCTCTAGTTTATTAGTTTTGTGAACTATTGAATACAAGATGAACAATGACTAAGAATGAGTATAAGACTTTTTATTTATATACTTGTGTAAGAATAATTAGTGTTACATTTAATTTTAGTTATTGATCTGCTTGTATTTAAGTACTCATATATATGATAAATTAGAGTTTTGGGATATAAATAATATTTATGTCTAAATTTGATAGAGTAATTTATACTAAAATAATCTGGAGATGTGTGGAAGATCGACTTAGCAAGTCTAGCAAGTTTTTCCTTTATATTAGCTGTTTATTTCACTTGTATCAAATAGTTTATATGATTACATTAAAGTCATTTGTAACTGAGATTAATAATTAATAATGAATATTTTAAGTTGATTATTCCTATATAGCTGATTAAGGAAGCTTAATTTTGAACCATTTGAAAGTTTTTTTTTTCCCCTTTGCAATATTATTTATCAGGTATATGCACCAAGACTGGATGATCCAATTTCAAAGACATTTGAACAGTGCTCTTCAGATACATTTCAGATAGATGGTCCATGTGCATCTCCTATATGTTATGCGTACCTATATAGATCTGGTGCATCTAATGGTTGGAAGCCTGAAAGCGTGAAAATCTATGGCTATAACTCTGAGCCTGTTACTTTTGATTTCAACACCTCCATCCCCGAGGACACGTGGTACGGTTATAATTTGTGCGACACTCCTCCATCTTCTTCATACCAACTAGCCACTCAGAAATGGCTTATATGTGTTGTTATAGGATTGGTTCTTAGTTTTTGGATGTAATTTATGCTCTGGCTGGTATGTTATGCACTTACATAGTCCATGTCTCATTTATTATGTACCGATGAAACTTAATTAGTACTTTATGCTAAAGTAGAGATACGAGACGTGTAATATCGTCGCAGAACTTCAGTTAATAATGTTGCTTGCTTCTCGACAAACATTAATAAGTAATATGATATCTTGTGTGTTTTGTTATGGAGTTTTTCCCTTTTATATATGTTATAATAATCGGTTAGGATAGTGGTGGGTAGTTACTAGTACTCTATCATGGAGATCATGGTAGGGTCCTTTAATGCCACTACTGCTTGGGTTCTATACACGTTCCTGGTTCATTGTCCGGGTTCCGGGATTGCACAACGTACCTTATCCCTAAGCCCTAACTCTGATGTGTGCTCTCTTTGAGCTTGCCTAAGTCCATATGGCGAACCCGAAATATTAAGCTCCCCAGTTCGGAGTATGATGCCTGCTCTACTCGGAGTTAATAATATGGGTTGTCCTTTTGTAATGTCACTCATTATTACTTTTATCTGCTACCATTAAATGTTTCCTGCCTCTTCATCCCCTTCTTGCCAAGTGTCCTTTTCCTCTTGGTCTCGATTTTCCAAAATTGCGTGATTTGATAAGTATCAATCATTTCGTTTCGAAATTCAAAACGTCGGTTGGCTTTTACATTTCCTTCTTATTCAGCTTTTCTTTCTCTCAATTTTTACTCTCACTATTTTCTCTGCCTGTTCTTCTTCTTGTTCTCTCTCCCTCTTTCTGCCATTATCACTTCTTCATTTTTCCTTCTTCTACATTTTCTTGGCCTTCTTGTTGACTTTGCTTCCAGGTTGTTGTTCTCGTTCTCCATCTTCGTTGAACTCAATACCAAGTAAGTTTATTATTCCCATTGTTCTTTTACTATTCCCATTGTTCTTATTCTTTATAATCTTTATTTGTTGGACTTCTTGCATGTTTATATTTTGGGCATCTGCTATGTACTTATCACTATTCATCTTTTTACTATTATGAACCCTCCTAATACTTCCTCTACTATCATCTTTAAGGAAAACCTTTTGGATTCTCTCCTAACCTCTTCTTTGCATGAAAGTTATTCTCCTTATTGCACTAACTTTACCCCCTTTAGGACTTCTACATTTCCTTTGTCGGGTTCCAGATGGATTAGGGTACTTTTACATCCACCACCATCCCTAAATAACATATTAGCTATTAACTCCCTTTTTGAATTAGATTTTAGCAGTGCCTTTTCGTCCAGGCACATGCCGATGAATCGTCCTTACCATTCGCTTCACGCTTCTCGCTTTGCTCTCCCTTCCAACTTGGCGGGTTTAGAATGGGTTGACGAAGAAGCCTTAAGACTTCGCTCAACTTATGAAAACAATCTGAGTACTCTTTATGTTGCCATACAGTCAGTACCTCTCTTTCATAATTCCATTATTACTTCTTTCCGGGTTGTCATACCCGGCGAAATGACTGCATCTGTACTCCTTCTGGACAAGGTGATAACTCTTTCTTTTTCGTCTATAAATGTTTATTTCCTGAGCTTAAAATCACCTTACCTTTTACCGACTTTCAAATGGACGTCTTGAATCATCTCGAAGTCGCTCCTTCTCAACTTCATCCTAACAGTTGGTGCTTTTTGCGCACTTTCGAAATAATTTGCCAAGCTTATGGATTTGCTTATTCTTCCCAGGTCTTTTTGCCGTGAAACGCCATCGAGAAGGGTAGTACCCGCTATAGTTGGGTTTCTTTGAAAGCCCGCCCAGGATTTATGTGGTGTACTATTTATAAGGATAACTGAAAAAATTTCAAAGAAGATTACTTCAAAATTTGCATACCTGAAGCTCTTCCTTCTACACCTTCTGCTTCTTCTTCTTATTCCCAATCTGCACCTCCTGCAGCCTTCTTTTTGGATCAAGCTGGACTTCCTCGGTTCCCATTATCTTGGAACCGAGCTTATTACACCCCTACTGCCAAAGTATTTTTAACTAACTCCAAGAATTTGACTAACGAAGAGTTTGAAACCTATACTTGGTTTAAAGATCTAGCAGTTCAACTAACCAAGCAAAATTCCTTTATTGCTCCTCGCTCCATTCTAGATTATAAAGATTCTTCCGACTGGATGCGCAGGAAACTTAGTAAGTAACCTAACATATTCCTCACATGCCATTATATTTTTAATGTCTAACTCTATATTATTAATTTTTGAGATAAATTCATGGATCCTTAATTTTTTGCCCGGATGAAGAAGAAAGGAACCCGGACTGATATTCCCTCTGCCTCTGGCGACAAGGATCCTTCTTCTACTCCTTCTCCTATTTCGGCTACATCTGCTACGGGTTCTATTCCCGGAGATAGTATTCTGGTAGATATAGAGACACCAATTGATTCTGGCGAACTCCGACAGAGAAAATAGGTCAGGATAAATGATCAAAGCACAGATACAACCAATGCTGATAAGCCTTTAACTCCTCCGACTTCCGTCGTTGCTATGCAATCCCAAGGTCCCAATTTTATGAACAAAGTGCAGCCCTGTTTTATTGCAAGTCTTCGAGAAAAATGGGATAAGCTTTCTTTAGACCAACTTATCTCCAAATTTACTGCTGTTTGAGATAATGACCACTGGGAAGCACACTTTTTTGAAATGGCTCTTCTGGCTTTGGCTGAACGCCAACAACTTCTCACTGAGCTCAAGGATTTACAACCTTTCAAAAACAATTTTAAGGCTGAGCAGGAACATCTCAAGAAACAGGCTGAAGCTGCCGAGGTCGTTGCTCAGGGCTTCCAAATCAAATTAGAAGAGAGTGAAAAAGTCGTCACTGTTGCTGAAGAAGCCGCCAAAGCAGCTAATGAAGAGTTAGAAGTTGTTAAGAAAGACTACTTGAATTTGACCAAAGAACGTGACCAATTGAAAAAGAATTTTGAAGACTCTGATTTTCAAGTAGCTGAGCTGGAAATGAAAGTAGGCTTGGAGCAAGCCGCTACTGAGATGGACTTCAAATTTGAAGCTTATGGTCACCAAGTTCGTGGTTGGGTTTTGGACTAGGTTGGCTTTTTCAACCCGAAAAGCTCTCTTCGTGACTTGCACAAGATTGAAACTTTTAATTTTATAAAGGACAGCCACTTGTGTACCTATGCCGAGGAAGGTCAAACAGTTATGCTTGCAACCCACCCATCTGAATATGCTAGTTTGCATCCAGGTCCCACTACTACTGCCTCTGAAGATGCTTGAGACCCTTATGAAGAAACTTGAAGAGGTGGTATGCCACCTTTATTTGTATTTTCTTTGGGATGTCATGTCAACTACTATTCATTTTGTCTTTTCTTCACTCTTATTTGTACTCATTTTGTACTTGAAATAAAATAGTCAATTCTATGCTCGTAATATTATTGTTTATTTGTTATAACGACAAACTACTCTTTATAAAGATCCTGATTTTATCCTTTTCTGAATTCATAAATTATTATCAATTCACTTTCTACTGGCGAGTTAAGATTTAACGGGTGCTACATATGACCCTTTCTGGTTATCTTTATTCTTCGCGTTTCCGAGTAGAAATTGGACGGGTGCCCAAGAGGTCTGGCGGCAAGGGACTTTCTGTTTTTCCGTTTCCGAGTAGGAATTGGACAGGTGCCCAAGAGGCCAATTTTGGTGGCAAGGGACTTTCTAACTTTCCTTGAATCAACTACTTTTGTCGGAACTCGCTTGTATTATTGAATTCAAAGGTTACAAAAGGAAGTACTGCAAATAATAAACTTTCTAAAAGAAACTTAAAACAACTATTCATCTCTTAACTTGGAATTATAAACGATAATCTAAAGATAATTGAAGCGAGTTCCCTAACTGAAATACCTCTTCAACTTGCCAGCATTCCAATGCCTTGGAATCGATTTCCCATCTAAATGCTCTAACTGATAAGCTCCTATATGTGTGCAAGTCGTCACTCTATATGGATCTTCCCAATTTGCTGCCAACTTGCCATCCCCAGCATTTTTGTTTCCTATATCTGCCCGCCTCAACACTAGATCTCCAACTTGAAACGATCTTTTTACTACTATCTTGTTATACCTTGTTGCTGCTCGCTGCTTGGACGCCATCTCCACCATAGTTGTCTTCTCTCTTTCCTCTTCTAACAAATGTAAATCAATATTCATCATTTCATTATTAACTTCTTATTTTTCCTTTTCTATCATCTTCCTTCTCCACGATGGTTCTCCAACTTCTACTGGTAACATCGCATCAAACCCATAAGTCATCTTGAATGGAGTCTCTTGAATACTAGACTGTACTGACGTTCTATACCCCCGTAACACATTATCTAACTCCTCTAACCAATTCCCTTTGCACCCCTTAACTCTCCTTTTTAAACAATTTGCCAGAATTTTATTAGCTGACTCCACCTGCCCGTTCGTCTGAGGATGTTCTACTGCTGCAAAATGATGCTTTACTCCTAACTCGGCAACTGCTTGTCAGAACTTGCTGTCTATGAATTAAGTCCCATTGCCAGTAATAATTATTGCAGGTATGCCAAACCTACAAACAATCTTCCCAATAAAGAAATTCTGGACTTTCCGAGCAGTAATACTTGCCACGGGTTTTGCCTCTATCCATTTTGTAAAGTAATCTGCTGCCACAATCAAATACTTAATTACCCTTGCTGCTTTGGGAAATGGGCCTAAGAGGAACATTCCCCACTTAAAAAATAGCCATGGAGAAGAGATTGTAAACAACTCTTTTGGAGGAGCTTTATACACATTAGAGAATTTCTGACATTGTTCACACCTTTGGACATTTGTTTTTGCGTCTTCCCCCATCATTGGCCAAAAATAACCTGCTTGGATAGCTTTTCGTGCTGAAGACTTCCCTCCAAGATGATGCCCATTAATACCCTCATGAATTTCTTCCAACACGTACTCGGTATTCGGTGGAGCTATACACTTCAACAGCGGCGAGTTAAACCCCCTTCTATACAAGTGCCCTTCTAAAATCACAAACCATGTCGCCTTCCTCCTCAATCTACTTGCTTCCATATTATCTTTTGGCAATTCTCCTTTCTCCAAAAAAGGTCTAATCGGATCCATTCAATTGCCTTCCTCTATCATCCACACAATACTCGGAGCCTGGATGCTCTGTTGTATTATTGTCCTTAAATTCCCTGTGGCTTTAGTACTTGCTAACTT